CATAGATAAAATGCAAACAAAGATTCAAAACAAGCATAACTGAATTTAGAGGAGAAGTTGCCCTTCCTTTTTTCCTTTTTCTTTTTTTTTTTAATTCGTAAAATTTTCTGCAACTCTCTCTCTCTCTCTCTCTCTCTCTCTCTCTCTCTCTCTCTTTAACTCTTCCGGAATCTGATTTCTCGGAAGTAAAGAGAGAAGAGATTAAAGGAAATCGAATTACGGTTTCGGATTTGGTCGGAGTTTTGAATTTTTCCGTCGGAATTATCTGATAATCTTTGTTTTCCGGTCCCCTTTTCGAGCCGTTTAAGGTACTTTGATTGATTCAAGCTTTCATCTTTATTCTTGGTCGCATTGAATCTTCGTTCAATATTCGAGTATTGAGTCACAAGGAAGGAATTTTCGTTTTCCCTTTTAACGTTTCTTGGAATCTATTGAAGTGCTGTTTCGAATTTTGGGTCTTTAAAATTTGGGTTTTCTAATATGTTGTTAAATTGGGAATCGGGTGCTTGATTTGACCAAGGAAATGTGTATAGAGTTGATGGGAGACGGAACAGAAGATGGGTTTTGGAGAAATCTATTTTTAGCAGCAAATGGCATCTGTGTTGTTTTTTCTATTTCGGGATTGTTTAGGTAGATTTGACAGGGCCGGACCGATTAATCTAGGAATTATGGAGTTGTTTGAATTCATTGTACTGTTGAAATTAGGTATTAACAGACTGTGTGTTCTGTTGCCTGGATGTCTGAAGGAATATAGGAAAATTTAGTTCCTTTGTAGAAATCTTGCCTGTTGGTTCTTTTTGTTTTGTAATATTTAAGATTTAATTTTCAATTCAATGCATAGCTTCTGCTGCTTCTGGATGTCTCTCTATATGATGGGTTGAAGCTGATTTCAGCTCATCATGATCTTTTTTTTTTTTTTTCCCCTTTTTTTAATTAGCTTGCTTTGTGTTTCCGTAGATCGGTTTGATTTATATCTTTGAATTCCATGCTATGTGCAGAGAGTGCAAGACATATTGCCCATTTGCTGGATTTTGTTGGGTTTAGATAACAGTACTTGTTCTTGCCACTTGTCATTCTGAAGATTCTGGGTTTATTTGGTCACCGATTTTGGTGGATTGTTTATGGCTGTGGCCTTTACTAATCTCTCGTGGTGGCTATCGAGTGGAAAACATCAAGAACCCAGACTATCTAATGGATCTTCTTTGAGTCCTTCTCCTGATTTGGGTTCATGGGAATCGGATAATCTGAAGTTCTCATCAGTTGAGGGGGCTAATTTTTCTTCCTCATCGAGAAGGGTCAAGCGCAAGTGGCATAGAAGGGAAGAGAGGAAAATTGATAGAGAGTTTGATGTAGTTCTTGTGCCATCTGATGGTGGATGTATTTCAGGGTCTGAATCTGATGATTCAGATTATTCCATTGGATGGTTGGAGCCTCATGGACCTGGATTCCAAAGTGATGATGACACAGACAACAGTTTTGCTGTGCTGGTTCCATGTTATGAGCACAGACAAGGCAGCATGGGAGAGAATCAGCAGAAAATTTTGGGTGCCATTGTGAACATCTCAGATGGTTATTCTGCTGGTATGTAGCCATTTCTCATCCATGCTTTTCATATCTAAAAATATATGAAATTATTTGCCTTCTGAGTGTTGCAACATTATTACTTTATGCAGTCAGTTACTTCCCTGAATCTGAAATGTAGATTTAGAGCCTTTGATACGTCATTAACTTATCTAGAGCTTGAGCTTTTTCAGTAAAGTTGTGTAGGGACTATTTTTTATTCTCAATTATTTTTCAATGGGAAGAGAAAATGAGTAAATGCTCTTTTACACATGTAGAGATAAATAACTTTAGGCTACTTTAGCCATTGAATTTGTTGGTTGAAACAACAATGGCTCTGTTGAATTGAGAAAGCTACTGGGTTTTGAGGTGATTCTTAGATTGCTTGTGATTCTTATTTTTGGGTTATCAGGTGTCATCTCCTTTGCTTTTTGGTCAAAGTAGAGAACATATTACTAAGTGTTAAAATATGCATGCGTGAATGCATTGTCATGATAAAAATAATTTTCAGTCAGGAATTTGAGAGGAAATTATCAACGCATGCCTTTTATTTCACTGTGCAGAGTTCAAGAAATACATGGAACAGTGGCTATCTTCTCTCAAGAACAGCTGACACCCTGGGCCTACTGATGGTTGTTTACAAGTCTGTATAATGATCTGCTTCATTTGCCAGAAGAACCTATTCTGTTGTTTTAATTAGTCAAATATTGTATATAAGTATGGCAGACGGATGAATGTAACATAGGGAAGGGATATAAGCAGAGATCTAGTGTAGGGTCTAAGCTAATATGATCTATGAGCATCAAGAACAGCAGTAAAAGGTCAACTTATGTGGAGGCGTAATTGGAATTGACAATGGTCTCTCACTGCTTTTATTGAGAAATGAAGAGAAAATAAGGGAACGCTGTATCCCCTTTTCATGCTTCCCAGATGGATCAGATTGCTGTGTAATATAAGATTGCAGGGGCTGGTATGGTTAGGGGATTAATTGGAAGATGAATGCGCGTGTCTCCAATTCTTTAATGTAAATATGCTGGCTGTACATATGGAAGCAGATTTCTGCATATCATATCATTATTGTAAATATGTGAATAAATTGCAGGTATTTGTGTGAATAATTCCAAGTATCTGTGTGAATAATTCCAAGTATCTGTGTGAATTTCATGAAAACACCAACACAGAGGTTACTTTTGATTCATAATAATAATAGATGAGAAAGAAAAGGAGAGATGACATTAAGGTTAAGCATCAAACCAAATTTAGATTTTCTTTAATCATAGAAGGATAAGAAGGGTTAGCTATGTCTTAGGTGACCCACTTAGTTTCCCTAAAAGTCATTTTAATGAACTTTGGAAATGGTTTTATCGTTGCATAGATAAAATGCAAACAAAGATTCAAAACAAGCATAACTGAATTTAGAGGAGAAGTTGCCCTTCCTTTTTTCCTTTTTCTTTTTTTTTTTAATAGGAAAAATCCCCAAAGCCTCCAATATTAAAGAGTCTGTCAAATGATTCAACACACAATCACCACCCGAAGTATCCTCTCCTCCATGTCTACCCCATTTGCTGAATTTTCATCCTAACTCGGTTTCTCTTAAATAATGTTTTTCTTCCTTTCTTTCTTTCCTTCTTCATCATTAAATCATGGGATAAGTTTAATGGCTATGCATGCCTTCTTCCTCTGGTTTACAGACATAGAAAACAGAAAATCATGCTGCATGGAGCGGCAAAACAAGCATATTCATGGTGGTGGGCAAGGCATATCAGGACAAAGCAGTCAAAATGGCTCGAAGAGAACCTTCACGGTATTCATTTCTCTTTGTTCTAAATCTGGTGTCATCAATGATCTGTTGATTTTGATCAATCTATAACTAGTGTTTTTTTTTTTTTCTTTTTCCCCCAGAATTTGTTTGTCCATAAAATTTTATCATTTTGCCATTTGTATTTGAAGGAAATCTAGAAGAATTCTAGGGAAATTAGGAGATTTTTAAAAAAAAAAATTTTTGGAAATTGATATGGGATTGGAGTCAAGGACAATAACATGTTTACCAATTACATCTGCTTCAGAAAACTATGCTATGCATGTTTGAGACCATTGCTTGCCATTCCAAACTGGAAACAGAAGCATTTCATTTTTTATGCTAGGAATAATTGGTAACATGGGTATATGTAAAATGACAGATATGCAGGACAAGGTTGCTCACATGCTCAAAATCATTGAGGATGATGGAGACTCCTTTGCAAAGAGGGCTGAAATGTATTATAAGAAGAGGCCAGAACTTATAAGCTTTGTGGAAGAAACATACCGAGCACACCGGGCGTTGGCTGACAGATATGATCACTTGTCTAAAGATCTTCAGAATGCTAACCGCACCATTGCTACTGTCTCTCCGGAACAAGTTCAGTTTTCCGTGGATGAAGAAGAAGATGAAAATTTGAGCCGAGCATATACCTCTTCCCCCAGTCCTGAAAGACCACCTCTTCCGAAGTCAGGTGTCCCAAAAGTTCCATTTCCGAAGGAAGAGTTCAGGAACTCACCTAAGCTGTTGTCAAGAAAGGGCCAATTAAGGAGAGCTCCCAGTTCTTCTAGAGTTGCTACACCTCCAAGTTCAGGGTTGAACAAAGATGAGGCGCTCGAGGAAATTGACAAGCTCCAGAAAGAAATCTTGGTGTTACAAACTGAAAAGGAATTCATCAGGAGCTCATGCGAACGGGGATGCCAAAAGTATTGGAAGATAGAGAACCAAATAACTGAAAAACAGAAGGTGGTTTCCAGTTTACAAGATGAGTTTGGCATTGGCACTTTTATTCAAGATAATGAAGCTCGAAACTTGATGGCGACAAGAGCTGTTAAATCATGCCAGGAAACCTTAGTTAAGTTGCAAGAAGAGCGGCAGCAATCAGCAAAAGAGGTAAGCATAGAATACAAAAGGGTCACTGAAGCACTGAAGAAGTTTCAGGCCATCAGAACAAAGTTCCTTGCCAAAGCAGAACAGCAGGAGGAGGATGAGTCTGTGAGTGTAAGTTCATGTTAGACTTTTTGGTTTTAAGAAGGGGGATTGATAGAGGACTTGGAGGAAAAAGAGAGAGACATCTCACCTAATTTTTACCTAATACAAGAAAATCTACCAAACATTTAATTGCTGCCATTTGTGCAGCTCCATGTTGCTATACTTGCTGCTACTTTGCAGCCTTTCATTTGCATTTCATTACAGCCTCATTTCATCAACATTTGCAGCTTAGCTTGCTGCACTTTGCTGCTACCGTGCTGTTGGTGCAGCTCTCCCTTCTTCATTTGCTGCCACTGTTGCAGCTTTGACACCACAACTCCAACAGTTCAGAATCACAAACTGAAAATGGGAAGCAAGAGAAGCATGATCTAGAGCTATTTCGAAAAAGGATTAAAGAACAGCTTGAAGTAAACTCGAACTCCTGCCTGACCATGTCACAACTGGCAGACAAAATCGATGACCTTGTACAAAGGGTTGTTAACCTGGAAACTGAAGTATTCTCTCAAAATGGTATGGTAAAGAGATTAAGATCAGAGACAAATGAGCTTGAGGCACAAGTTCGCAGCCTGGAAGAAGACAAGGAAGCTCTGATTGAAGGCTCAGACATCATGCGTGCCAGGATGAAGGAGTTGGAAGAGGAATTATCTGGAGTCAAAGATCTTGTCAAAACTGTGATACAACAAAATAACAACCTCAAATCTCAATTTACCAAGGCAAGTTGTAACCTTGATCATTTATCTGTGAAATTACAAAATGTTAAAATGGATGAGGATGACGAGACTACAGTAATGTTTCAGGAAGGCGAATCTGCATCGGATGCCAAAGGGGACGAGGGGATTAAAGACCATGGAAGATGAGTTGAAAGACAAAGAAGCCCGGAATGGAAAGAAGAAAACAGATGTTTCAGCTGGTGCAGAAAACCTGGATTCTCAAAAGCCTCAGGAACCAATACAAGAGGAAAAAATTGAGAAGAAAGATTTCTCTGATGCAGAAGAATAGGGAACAGACGAAGAAGGAAACCAACCAAACTGGAGGCAGCTGATCTTAAACGGGTTGGATGATAGAGAAAAGATTTTTCTAGAGGAATACAGTTCTGTCCTTAGGGCTTACAAAGATGTTAGAAAGAAGATCAATGAAGTGGAGCAGAAAAATCGAGATGAGTTCTTTGAATTTGCATTGCTGATAAGGGAGTTGAAGCATGCTGTTGCTTCTAGAGATGGAGAGATTTTATATTTGAGGCAACAAACGAGCTGCCCTCATAAAATTCAAGATGAAGATCAAGAAAGTAGAGTGACGAGGCAGGAAGGAAGCTTTGCAAGTATGAGCCACGGAGTCAGCTTTGCAAATTCTACTCTCTCATCCCCAACCTCACATCATGAACAAATCCTTAATGCATTAACTGCTCGGGGAAGCTCCTTCACAAAGGAGGAAGAAAAAGAATTCCTAAGTCAGAAAAGGAGGATGAAACAATGATGAAGATAAAACCTGCGCAAAGTCGCCCTGTTTCAGCTGCAGAAGAAAAAAATCCGTTCAGACATTGATGGGCTGCTGGGGGAAAATCTAGAGTTCTGGTTAAGATTTAGCACCTGCTTTCATCAGATACAAAAGTACCAAGCATCAGTGCAGGACTTGAAGGCAGAATTATTAAACCTGGGTAAATACAAGATCACTAATTTCAAATCTCAAGCCTCAGATGCCAGGCCAATATTCATGCACCTGAGAGAAGTACAGACTGAATTAACATTATGGCTCCAAAATAATGCAGTATTGAAAGATTAAGTGAAAAAAAGATATTCATCCATGTGCAACATCCAAGAAGAAATCTCAAGACTCAACAATGCAGGTTCCAGAGCAGAAGATGCCGAGTTCAGCCAGTATCAGGCTGCAAAATTTCAGGGTGAGATTCTCAACATGAAACAGGAAAACAACAAGGTTTGTGATGAACTGAAAGCAGGTTTTGAACGAGTAAGACAGATGAAGGTCGGAAGTAGAGAAGGCAATAGATAAACTGGGTGAGGACTACGGGATTGCATTATCAGCAAACGAAAGGTCAACAAAAACAGCTCGGGCTAGAATTCCTCTCAGGTCTTTCTTGTTTGGTGTGAAGTTAAAGGGCAAGAGGCCCTCAAAGGCCACATCCATGTTCTCTTGCATCAATCCAGCATCAGTACCGCACAGACAATACAGTTATATAGCAGCATCACTAGAACCCCCAGAATAGACACTACCAAGCGTTTGTCGGTTGTTTTGATACCTCATGCCGCTTAGACGAGTGATTCTCTCATTTTAGGACCCTATCTGTTTGTTAATTTAGACCAAAACTAATCGAAATGTTTTAGTTTGAGGACTGATTTTTAAGATATAGAGCACACCATATGGAATTCGTTTTCCTTGTTTCAAATGTTAATAAATTTTGGATTAAATGACATTGCCAAAATATCTTCTTCTCAAGCAAACAAAGAATAACAAATACTGTCATTTTCTTTCCACACCTCCAAGTTGATTTACAACACAAATACCTAAAACAGTAACCAGTAATTCTTACTTTGAACGACAGGCTCTCCCTCTGCCGCTACAAAGCTGTAGTGGCTTCCGATTTGCTTGAAGCCTCTAGTTTATTGCTGCTTTCAGCTTGTTTCTCAACCCCGCTTGAATTTTCACAACTCACTTCTGGTGCAGATTTTGTGTTGCCTTCTTTGACTGCCGCACAACCAGCGACATCCACTTTGTCATTACCAGCCGGCATCTTCTCATTAGGACAACCAGTGACATCCACTTGGTTGTTATCAGCCTTTGACTTCTCATTAGGATGCTCGGCAGTATCCATTTGATTTTTGATCTCTGGTTCTGGGTTTGCTTTATGTCCTTTTACTCCTTCACAAGGTTCATTTGTTAATGTGCACTTTCCATTTTGTTGCACTTTCTCTGCTAAGATGGAGTTAGGCCCTTTGATCTCTTTGGGAGCCTCAACGTCTTGCTTTGACTGGCACTCAGCAGCTTGACTAGAGGCAACAGCATTACACTGCTGAGATGGCCTATTTAATAATGAAGCACAAGCAGAAGCAGATGGATTGTTCTTAACCACAGTTGGTAAAGATCTTACTGAACCACTGTGCAGGCCAAATGCGTCTTGGGGAGAGGTGGAGACTGGTTCAGCTGACAGGCCAGTACGACCAGAAGCTGCATTAGAATGAACCTCATGTTGAGAGGAGGCACTACCAGGCATGTGGGGCTTGATTGGTGAACCACTGGAGGACATGACATGTATAGTATTGTTCACTCTGGCAGCCTTAAACGGTGATGCAGCAGTCCGAGCGTTACCAATATGAGCCCCATCTAGAATAGAACCTGAAGTTGTAAAAGATTTTGCTGATTGTTTTTTCAAGGTTATTTGAGATTTCATAATAGAACCCAATGATTGGACTGGAGATGATGTTGTCGCAATGGAGCCTTGTTTAGACTGGTTTTGGGCTTGATCTGAAGTTTCAGCAGTAGCAGTAGGAAGCACAGAGGTACTGGGCTTGGTCTTCCAAGCTGTCAAATTTAATTATATCATCTCGTTAATAAGAGAAAAAGACAATAGGCAGCTTAACAGGTATTCCATCATTATATCACCTTTTAAGCTTAGCTTGCATGCATACGAGATTAGGCATTATAATAGGCTAAAAATAGCATGAGGTGGTGAAGAATTACCAGGGCTACTTGTACAAGCAGTTGTTAAGTTTTGTTTTGGCCTATCAAGGGCCATGCACAATGCACTACGAGTTGCCAGCTGAGCCTCAGTAAGCTGTGGGATGGTTGGTTTTTCCTCCAAATTGGGATTTCCTCTCTTAATAAGGTTCTTATACCTCTGCAAAATTGGAATAAACTTTTCTGAATTAGTAGCACTAAAAAACACACACACCAAGAAAAATTATTTAACAGCTTGATTAGCATGCCTACTTAACAGCCATGACGATTAAGAAAATTTAGACAGTTAAAAGAATTCCATTGCTGGGATTCGGACCTGGGAAAACTTGGGAATACCCAGGCATCCTGACTGGACTAGATGACAATGGATTGCTCTTACAAAATGTATTTTTCAGTGACTAAAAAAATAGAAAAGGGAAAAAGAGGGAGAAGAAGCAAAAGCATATTTTTCCTTTAGGTTATGCAAGATAGTGTAGTGCTTAAAGCATCTATGAAAGACTCATGTAAAGTAAGGGAGAAAAGAAGGAAAAATTTTCAGGGGAAGCAAAAAACTGGATCACAAATATTTTCACTCTCAAGGAAATGAAACTAGCTAAGCATAAATCACAAAGAAAGAAGGTTGAGGCAATAGAGGGATCAAAAACTACAGAAGACAATTAAATGGAGTGATGGAAGCAGTTAAATCTCCCACAATATGCACCACTTACAGTGATTGGCAACAAAAGATCAGTGTTACATCTACCAAATGGGAAAAGTAATTTCAGGTCACAAGAAATCAACAACAAGAAACTATAACAACAACATCATCTGTGCTTTAAAAATCAAACAGGAATGAAATATGTTTAAAAAGTGAGAATAAGGCATCTAAAAGGAGTGACATAGGATCCAATAAAAGATGGTTTGGGCATTTAAACTAAACCTATGAAACTATGATCTGATTACTAAGATAAAAAGGAGAGTGGCTAGCAGGCTTCTCATTACTAAGCATTGTATCATCTGCCATTAATTTTCAGTTTACATAAGAAACCTTTTGCAAAGAAAATGATATCTATCTAATGCATAAACAGTTATAGCAGGATTGTAGAAGAGAGGAGAATTTGAGCTACAGCGATGTAAAGTAAATCAATTCAGGTGAGAACAAAAACCTGGGATAGCTGTGAAGAAGTTCTATCTCCTTTGAAGTCTCCTTCTCGTAAGATGTTTGCCCAATTTCCAGGACCATATTTGTTCACAGCAGCAATAAGTTCCTGATCCTCTGCTTCTGACCATTTCTTTCTTCTCTTCCGAGGATTGCTCCCACATCCAGCCCCATTTACATCCAATGAGTCATTTAATGTAATATTTTTTTGAACAGAAACCGGAACAGTAATGTTCTTCCCTTGCATAGAGCAAGCAGGCCGTGAACTTTCTGAGGAAGCTCTACACGTCTGGCCATTAGGTATATTTATAGTCAATGGGGCCTCTACCATTGAGCTGTTTGGAAGACTTGAGTTGCTCGGTAATCCAGAAGCAATCAGTACCTACACAGAAGAAGCATCAGCTTAATAGACAAAAGAAAAATAATGAACCAGGAAAAGAAAAAAAAAATTTGTGAACCAGGACAACAAAATTGATGAACAATTTGATTCTATTTCCAGGTTATTCCAGTGCCTAGTGTATAGTGTATAGTCAACACCAAGCAGTAAGCATATCGACAACAAGAACTGAACCAAACACAAATGAAACCAGGAACAATTTATATGGTGTGACAAAGGCAATGAGCTGGTTAGAATTATTGTATTTTGTTAATGTTGAATTGATGTTAAAAATAAATGCAAATGAACTTACAAGTTATGAGACAAAAAATGGGTTATATCATAAGCCAACCTACTATGCAATAGATATATCATTAACCAAAATTTCAGAGTAGAAATTATAAGAGGAATCAATCTTTAAGAATTTAATGTCTGCTACTTACTTTCACACATGCTGCAGCCTCTGCTGAAGCTTCGTTACTTACAGAAGGAGAAGGTTCCAATTCACATTCTAAGTCACTATCATCATCCTGCATTTGAAAAAGTTAATTATTTTTTATCTATGGTCATTAACTGCATAACAAAACCAAGTTGAAAGATAAAATAAAACTGAAATTTTTTTTTTAATCTCCAATGCACAATATATATATATATATTTATTTATGTTTGGCAACATCTATCAATCTATGGATATTCTAGCTTTCCCAGTATAAATATTAAAAACAACAATATAATCAACACAACAGTTTCCCACAGCAAAAAGGACTGCAAATTTTTTGGGTATACTAAAGTTTGTTATTGAGTAGGCATTTTGAAAGAATCACTTTGTTAAACTGTTAACAAAGAAGTCATACCAAACCCCAGCATATCAAGCAAAGAATATATGCTATTTCAACATCAACACCCGTTATGCATTTTGCAAAAACCTTACTAGTCCTTAGCCATTACATATTTTGTTCAAAGTTCCCTTTTTCTCTTAGGCATGTGCATAACACATTACATTAATTAGCACAGGTCACATTTAAATCTTTCAACCAAGACAAGCATAAATCCAAAGTTAGAAACCAAGTATGAATGAAAAAAACTGACCAAAGGCTCAGCCCCATCTTCCAAAATCTCAGGCAATCCTTCGCGATAGGCTAAATGCCTCCATAACATTTGGTACTCTCTAGCATTAGAAATCCCTGTGGAAGTCTTCTTCACCAGCTCTTCCCAATTCAACTTCACGTCAACGGATTGTGCCACTTCTTGCAACAATGCCAGCAGGGTTGTTGCTGTATACCTGCGCAACAACGATACGCAATCAAAACCAAACCAAAACAATAATAATAATAATAATAATAAAACAATAACAACACTAATCCAAAAACAGAAAACTTTTTATGGAAAATACGAAGGAAGAAGAAAAGATGAAAAAGTAAGAACCTTTGTAAGAGGTTGGAAACGTCCTCCTCGCTGATTGTGCACTTCTGCTTCTTGTTTTTCTCAATCATTGTCGCGTTCATAGAGAAATTACATGAGTGAAGCAATTAACTACTAAGAACAAGAATTAAAACCGAGTGCTTTTACTAACAATTACTGAAATCAACCTAAAACCCTATCAATAGTCCGAAAGAAAGAGAGATATAGAGACAGAAGTAGAGAGATGTATACTGGACGGAATAACCAAAAGACGAGGAGGAAGAAGACGACAACGGCGGTGGGTAGGGTGGAAGGTCGACGACGGCGAGTGGTGTTTGGGAAACGTTAGAGAGCGTGGGAAGCACGCGCCGAACAGAGTTCTTGCGGCGAAAGAACCGGGATTTGAAACGGGGAGAAAGAGAAGGAAACGGTGAGTGCTACGAGGCTTTGCGATTTTTCACTGCGGACTCCGGACGCCGTGTTTGGTGCTCCAGAAACTCTTTAGCTTTATATGACGATAATGCCCTTCTGCTTTTCACCGTTCCTGAAATATTTTTAAGCCCCTCGAATATGCACAAATATTTTAAAGAAGGAACGTTTTATTTTTTGTAATTAAAATCCTTTATTTATTTTTCTTATAGTGAAGTCCTTCATTTATTTGTCTTTGATTACTCGTACATTTTGTCAAAGTGCAAAAATCATAAAATTTACAATTAATGCTGTTAAGAAATGGAATTCATGGCGCCTGGACTTCGAGTCAATTGGCACCCAACCAACTTAAGATGCATTCTCCCCTCTCTTATGAAAGTTCGTTCATTGACAACTCGTTAAAAAAAAAGAAATGGAATTCATGAACCTAATTTATGTGGTGAGTGCAAGCAGTACTTTTTGTCACCCATTTGATTAAGTTTTGAGGACTCTTGTCTCTATTCATTTCTCCATTTCTTAAAAATTGTAGTTTGTTAAAAAAAAAAAGAAGAAGAAGAAATGGAATTCATATCTCTCTAGACTAATTGAAATACTTATAATAATTGTAACTTTAATACAAGTATTGTTTTGAGTAAAATTTTTTTAAAATTGTTTCTATCAAAATTTATATAAAAGAATTGTACAAAATTAATTACTAATACTTAATAATTATCATATTTAAAATGTTTGACATCATTTTTTTTCTTTTGGCAAGATGTTAACTGTCAAAATCTCTTAACCACAAGCTATTGTTTTTTAAAGTTAATTTTTAATTTCTTAAAAACTATAAAAACTCCAAAAAAGTTGGAAGTATTTTTTAAAAAATTGTATTTAACTTAATTTTAACTTTTGCAACAGATTTTTTTTAAAAAAAATTAAGTACATTCATAAATTTTACTTTGTTGTATAGTTTTTGTATTTGTTAATACCTTGCATAAATTTTAATAGTTAACCTTGACATTAAGTCAAACTTTTTAATTAGTAAATACCATATCAATTGATATGTGAGTTTCACATTTATTTATGAAATATACAAATAAAGAAATATTGCATTTTTTTTATCAAAGAAGTATTACGTATTTGGTAATAAAATTATAGAATCAAGTTGAAAATTGGCAATTATTTAAATTAATATTACTCAAATAAAATTAATGACCTAAATGAGCTAAATGACCTAATAATAAATTTTTTCAAGTCATAAACATACTTGTAAAAAAAATAAAAATATGACAGGATTAGCTCAATTATACCAACCTAAAATCAAAAGGCATTATAGAAATAAATAGATAAAAAATAATAAAATTTGTTACTTTCTTTTTTTAATAAAAAAAATTGACACCCTCCTTGTTTCGTTATTGCGTGCACAAAAAGACGCGATAGCTGTCCTGGATCCGGGATTCCGTACAGAAAAAGTCCAAAAACGCAAAAAGTAACAAACTTGGAGGACCCAAAGTTAATTGCCAAAATTTGCGGAGATTGAAATAGAAAAATATACCTACTCCAACTTCCATAAATAAATAAAGTAGGTGCATCCGTGCATGTTTTCCATTTTTCTACGATTTTCTACGAAAGAGGTGCATGGATCGTGGATGTTTGGATCCGGACAAAAGTCGTGTTTTTTTTTTTTTATTTATTAAACTTTTGGTATTCAGTAATCTTTTGATTAATTCAAAATTGAATCACGTCAAATCTCATTATAAAGAAACTCTCTCAGTCGCACATGTTTCTCCATTTATAAAACTTGAACTCAAAAATTTATTTAAAAAAAACAACTACCTTCCATTCGAACCAACAAGTTGTTGACCGTATACCTTTTTCTACTATAAGGATCATAAGTCTGGTATTTTAGTATAAGAATGGGAAAAATTAAAACACTTTGATAATTAAAATATTATAATTGTTTGTGAAAAAAGACTTAAATATTTTAATTAAGTAAAATATTTTTAATTGTTTGTGAACTCAAAAATAATTCTAACTTTTTATATACAATGGCGTATTGATTTTTACTCTTCTTTTTAAGTATTTTAAAGAATATAAAATACCAGAAAAGAGTATTTAAAAAAATTAAGTCTTTATAGCAAAAGAAAATATAGATACTATTTAATTTAACTATTAAGCAAAACCTAATAATTGATAATTGATTTCAAATGTTTATAATATATAGTTGAAGTTAATGCTTGTCCACCTTACTCAAAAAAATTAAAAGAAAAATTATTTCAAAATTAGAAAGAAAATTATTTCAAAATTATGTCATTTTAATAAAATATTATAAAATAATACAAAAAACATCATAATTTATGTTTTACAAATATGATATTTTAGTTTTTTTAATAAATTTTTATTAAAATGATATAGTTTTAAAATAATATTTTTTTAATATTTATAAGGTAAAACAAATAAACATTATTTTATTTTTTTATAAAAAAAATATTCTACAATTTTATTTATTTTAAACTATAAAATATTGATAATTTGTTTGATAGAAGGACCCTTAATATTAAAGACTCTTCCCAATAAAATTTTTTTATTTTATAATGTAAAACAGTTTAAATTGAAAAATAATTCACCCATATTTTTATCTCTTGAAACTGACTTTAGTTTCTTCATCCCTGACAGCTTGTGCTAGTATTTTAGCTTTTAGGAGTGCTTGGGGCAGTTTACATTTCTGGACCTAAGATCTTCCTTGTAGCTATCCCATACACCCACCATAAGGCCACTACCATTTTTCAAATTTATTTATAAATTACTTTGAAAGTTTGAAGTTAGTTTTAAATTTTTTTAACAAAATTTTAAATTAATGAATGAATAATTTACTTATAAATAAGTTTGTTTATATGCACAACCAAACATGGCCATTGAAAAAACCTTTTTCTAGCATACTTCAAAATGGTTGTGACAATTGTCACATATATTTTTGTTAAGCTTATACAATTTCATTAATATTTTATTAATTTATAATTTTTTAAAACAACTAATTTAATATCCAAAAACATCTATATGTAAATTAATTTTAATTTATTAAATAATAAATATAAATTATTTTATTAATTAATAATTATTTTTAATAATCAAATTAATAAAATATCAATTAAAATTATGTAACTATAACCACAGCATTTCAAAAGATAAGGTTTTAATTCAATGATACAAGATGACAAATTTTGAAATATTCATATATTTGAATTTTTTAACTTTGTGTTTGTTTGATAGTCCATCTTTTATGCATCAATATTGTTAACAAACGATCGGCTAATAATTTATTGATAATTTTCTCTCCATAAATGAATAAATATAAGAGATATTATATTCAAATTATATAACATATATAACTAGAGTGACTTAAACAATGAAAAATGATATACTTGTAAAAATAAAAAATAAATAAAGAGACAAATTTGTTAGAAAACAAAAACAAGAAGAAGAAGAAGAAAACTTTGACCCTACCAGCCCTCATGTCCACCTGTCTTTTTAACCGAACATGTTTTTCTCCTTTCTTTTTTTTTTTTATTGCTTTTTGTTTTTTGACAATGAAAGGTAATTATCTTTCGTTCTTATTTTATCCAATTCGAATATTATGTGACTCAAACTTAAGATCTTTTATTTCTAACAAAATAAGATAATTATTAAATTATTTAAATCATTAACTTTTTCTTTTTTTTTTGTTCTTAAAGAAACATTTTTTCCATTTCATATGACCATGGACAATTGGCATTTGGGAGCATCGATTCCCTTTATAGGGGGTCAACATCAGGTTCTCTCTCGCGTTTGTGTTTTTTTTTTACCAAATTTATAAAGAGTCAAATTCCAACTGTTATAAAAAAATAAAATGTATTTTATGGATGGTCTGAAGTTACTAGATTAAAGACCCAAGTACAAGTATAGGTTCTCTCGTTTGAACCATAATAATTGTCATATTTTTATTAGAAAAAATACCTTCGTTTCCTTTCATGAATGAATGGTATAAAAAACAATACTATCAATTCTACACGGAAAATATATACTAATACTAGGTATATATTATTTGAAGTGCAATACCTATATGCATTATAATGTGTTATTTCGTAATTAACTTCTTCTTTTTTTTTTAACTCATGTAATATTATATATATTTTAATGAGGCATAATATATCCTAAAATGAGAATATGAAAAGTCAAAACATCCATCACAACCATTTATTAATGGTCTGTTTGGTAACATAAATTTGAAACAGTATATTTAAATTTGAAATGTTAAAATTTTATTTTTATTTAAATAAAAGGCAATTTAATTTAAGTGAAATACATGTATTTAAGCAACGAAATTCAAAAGAGTAAAACCTATGTATTTCAATTTCACCCTCAAATTCATGAATTTCAATTTGGAAATGAATTTCCTCTGCACTCTCTCTTATCATCGACGGTGAATTGTTTTGATTTTCTCCAGAAACTTCCATCATTTCTTATCAATTCCGCTGGAACAAGAAAGAGATAAAGATCTCCTTATGTAATTGCAACAAACCATAAGTTCTTTTTTAGTTTGTGTCTTCACTTGAGATAAACTTACAAAGTCTCGAGGTGAATCCTCTAAATAGATACTCTAATACTTAAATCAGCAATAATCATATCTACCTTTAGAATAATGAAAAAATAAACTTTAGGTCGGTTTTAATTGCCTTTCTAAAGTGGCTTCTAGGGGTATTTATAAATTTTAATGAGGTGTTCACCGTTCACGTGATTTGTTTAACAAGACAATCAAAGTCTGACGTGTCCCTTTAGGTAATGATCTCAAGAATGAAAAATTAGGTGCGAACATATTTACTGTAATTATCATACAGCTGTTTGACCAAGAAATACTAAATTTAACCTTCACTTCTGTTATTAAAAAAACGTAGCAGTACGTCCGAGATTCATAACCTCAGACCTATCCTTACACCTCGTCCATTATTTTGGTTCATTCGTTAATCAGATCTGCAACTCTCCGGTGTCATAGAGAGTGAGATCGACGATTCAAGTTTTTCAGGTATTTCTCC